TTTCTACAAGACTCCAATTCATTTCTCACCTTACATTTTGACATAATCATAATCAGGTTAAGCAGATACCGCTATGAATAATCAAGTAACAAATATTGTTGTTTTTAAACATTCTATATCACAAGTAAATGCATCCGAAACAGGTAAAGACCAACTACACTATCTAGACAAAATGGTGATAACAGATCTTTCCTATTAGTCAAACAGGGGAAATGAAATTCATATTTTCGGACAAGCAATGTGGATGAAGAGATATCTTTTGTGATACCACAACCAATAATCAAACTGAGGGTGATACAATAAGGTCAATCCCTATCGCCAAATTCACTCAAAGAAAGAAGGATGTGCATCCCCTCAATTTCCTTTCGAATTGAAATTTTTGGCAGATAACAATTTGAAGAATGGCAAGCAAACTCTTCACGATGTACACAAACCTCACCTCTGACATTTCCCGTGATAATGATGTAATCTCCATGTTATATATCTTTGATTTCTCTTCTATGGCTTCAATGGAAGCCTTCTCCTTAGCTGACCATATTGCTCTTTCCTCCTCCATCTCCAAAAGGGAATCTGTAAGTTGCTGCCAGCCAAAGATACAATCAAATGAGCAACTTTGCACCAAGAAACACACACAGGTTAAAAATTCAACTAAAGATTGATGTTTTTAATTTATAATTCAGGAAAAGACCCAAAACTAGTCTACCATCGCCAAGTCTTCCTTTTCTTCAGTGAACGTTTTAATGGAGCCTTCCATCTTTTGCTGCTCAAATTCAGATTCTTCCAGCCTCTGTTTCTGAATATACAGATAAATGACAATGAAAAATTAAAACATTCGCACAAAAAAGCAAACTAGCAATTTATTTTTATAAATGAAAGTAGAAAAAGACTTAGGATAGTGTGAAAGAGAGAAATGTGGACTAGCTTACCAGGGCCAAAAGCTCTTCCTGCAATGCTTCAAGTTCCAAGTTTGATGTACTCAATTTTTCAGACAGGTTTTCTAGTTCAGATGCTAAACCTTCGCTAATCGACACAGCATCTTCTTTTTCCCTGTATACAGCTGCTAACTCTTCTTCTAGAGAAGTCATCTTTGTTTCCATTTCAAAAGCATAAACTTCCATCTTTTTGTATTCTTCCTGAAAAACAAGAAAAACAAAATAATAGTTGCCATCATTGAATACTAAATGAGGCTCAAAAAGCTTAAGCAAAGTAGAATAACAACTAGGACCATAAACATAACAAGTAAAATTCTAATTTTACTTTAATATCTTAACAAAATATTAACTATCAAGTCATTCTCTCTTCAGCAAGAAAATTAGTTTCTTTCAGTATAAGTATCTCTTCACATCAGCATATGGACATTTACAGCTAAAATAACTTGCATGCAGGATAACAAATTTTATGCAGGATAGTAATGGAAAAAAGCTTATAAAACATTGTCACCACCTGCAATGTCTGTTCAAAAGCAAGGTTTTTTGTTCTTTTAGAATCAGACATAACTGAATCACGCCTTCTACCAGCAAGTGAGTCACGCTTGTTCATGTCACGTTCAAGAAGAGAGTTCTGACCATGCAATCGTTTTATTTCTCGTTCGGCAGAAGCTTTTTCACCCTGCAAATGAGCGAATATGTTTGTGAAAGCGAAAGGTTGTGTTTGGATGATATCAATGACTGAAGAAAAAAAGAGCATAAAGCTCAAACCTCCAGTTTGGTCTTCTCTTGTATGGCATTCTTAAGCTTAAACTCAGTCTCTTTCAACTTCATTCTTGTTTTCTCAACATCTTTTCTCAAACTTTCCTTTTCCTTAGCCAAAGAACAAGATGATAAACCTGATATTTCCTTTTCAAGAACTTGCATATAAGAAAGATATTCTCCCTTTTCCAAATCCTGTTGTTCCTGAAGTTCCTGAAAGAAACTACTATCAATGAAAGGATTTTACTGGTTACTAACAGTGATAAGCATATTAATACTAACATACAAGCTTACCCTCAAGGACTTTTCGGAATTTTGAGCGTCTAGTTTCAGTTCCTCTATCTGGTTCTGAAGATCAACTGTTTGATTGTGCAGAAGGCACTGCATACCAGATAATAATACAGCACCAAAAAATGTCAATGTGGTCAAGAAGTAAATAGATTTCAGGGTCTTTCAAATAAGTATAGTTACAACCGAACCTTTTCATTCTCAAGTTCAGAAACTTTTTCCATCAGGTACGAGTTTAACTTCTCGTGGTTACTGACAATATTCTTTTGTTGTAAAGAGAACTGGCACATTGAAGTCTTGAAATCCTACATTACAAAGAAGTCAAGCCACTAGATGGTGAGAGAGAATACAAGCATTTATAGAATAAAGACCCGCACAGGCTTCAGAAAATAAATTAAATGAACCTCAGAGATAACTTATGACATCAGCAAGCAATATCTTTAGAATACTAACTGTAAGTAAGAAAAGCCATTAGGAGCTGATGTTTCGAAAGTACTCACTAGGAACGTATCAAATAGCACAGAGAAACTCTTAGAGCCCTCTTCCAGAAGTGAAGATACACTTTCTATTGCTATTTCTGAGCTTTGAACTTCCAACATTATTTCTCGGACTTCCTTTGCAAGCTTGATCACCAAGTCAGAACTTTTGTCCTATACAAAGATATTAAAAGTTAGCTGCACAGACTTCGAAAGAGAACATGTATACTCAACCAAACCCTATATTTACAAACACCATAAAATATGTGAACAATAGATAAATAATGACTCGCCGCAGAAATTAACACAAAGGAAGGAGATCATACATCCACTTTTGCTACAGATTCGTTCCAAGGATGCTCACGAGTGACCCTAGCCTCCTCACGTGCAATTAGAAGCTCTTCATAGAGCTAAGGACATCAAACAATAAGAGACAGTAGTACCATCTTCATAAAAGATAAAACAATGGAAGTGAAAGAAATGACGGTTCTCTGGATCTTTCTAAAAGAGAAAACAGAGAGCAGCAAGTGGGCAGGCTTGTACATACATAGATGGAAACTTTAAACAAATACAACACTTTGACTTTATATGCTAATAGAAAGGTTTATTTCAAGGCTATATAGAAACTTGGCTTCTGTGACAGGAGGAGAACATACGAGAGACTTACACCTTAAATAAAAAACCTAAAACAAATCATTTTCCTGTTGAGACATTAAAAATGTATCCTGAAACGGTATTCATAGTCAAAATTCATACATACATATATACAGAGGTATGTTGAATAGTCAAATATATATATATGGAAGCATGTTGAACAGTGGGGGTCCTGATCATGCACACATGTGAGTGACACATGTATATAATGGACAAACACCTACACACACCCTCTGTGTGTGTCTAATTCGGTTAACTGCAAAAATCTAATATCAATGACTGAAGAAAAAAAGAGCATAAAGCTCAAACCTCCAGTTTGGTCTTCTCTTGTATGGCATTCTTAAGCTTAAACTCAGTCTCTTTCAACTTCATTCTTGTTTTCTCAACATCTTTTCTCAAACTTTCCTTTTCCTTAGCCAAAGAACAAGATGATAAACCTGATATTTCCTTTTCAAGAACTTGCATATAAGAAAGATATTCTCCCTTTTCCAAATCCTGTTGTTCCTGAAGTTCCTGAAAGAAACTACTATCAATGAAAGGATTTTACTGGTTACTAACAGTGATAAGCATATTAATACTAACATACAAGCTTACCCTCAAGGACTTTTCGGAATTTTGAGCGTCTAGTTTCAGTTCCTCTATCTGGTTCTGAAGATCAACTGTTTGATTGTGCAGAAGGCACTGCATACCAGATAATAATACAGCACCAAAAAATGTCAATGTGGTCAAGAAGTAAATAGATTTCAGGGTCTTTCAAATAAGTATAGTTACAACCGAACCTTTTCATTCTCAAGTTCAGAAACTTTTTCCATCAGGTACGAGTTTAACTTCTCGTGGTTACTGACAATATTCTTTTGTTGTAAAGAGAACTGGCACATTGAAGTCTTGAAATCCTACATTACAAAGAAGTCAAGCCACTAGATGGTGAGAGAGAATACAAGCATTTATAGAATAAAGACCCGCACAGGCTTCAGAAAATAAATTAAATGAACCTCAGAGATAACTTATGACATCAGCAAGCAATATCTTTAGAATACTAACTGTAAGTAAGAAAAGCCATTAGGAGCTGATGTTTCGAAAGTACTCACTAGGAACGTATCAAATAGCACAGAGAAACTCTTAGAGCCCTCTTCCAGAAGTGAAGATACACTTTCTATTGCTATTTCTGAGCTTTGAACTTCCAACATTATTTCTCGGACTTCCTTTGCAAGCTTGATCACCAAGTCAGAACTTTTGTCCTATACAAAGATATTAAAAGTTAGCTGCACAGACTTCGAAAGAGAACATGTATACTCAACCAAACCCTATATTTACAAACACCATAAAATATGTGAACAATAGATAAATAATGACTCGCCGCAGAAATTAACACAAAGGAAGGAGATCATACATCCACTTTTGCTACAGATTCGTTCCAAGGATGCTCACGAGTGACCCTAGCCTCCTCACGTGCAATTAGAAGCTCTTCATAGAGCTAAGGACATCAAACAATAAGAGACAGTAGTACCATCTTCATAAAAGATAAAACAATGGAAGTGAAAGAAATGACGGTTCTCTGGATCTTTCTAAAAGAGAAAACAGAGAGCAGCAAGTGGGCAGGCTTGTACATACATAGATGGAAACTTTAAACAAATACAACACTTTGACTTTATATGCTAATAGAAAGGTTTATTTCAAGGCTATATAGAAACTTGGCTTCTGTGACAGGAGGAGAACATACGAGAGACTTACACCTTAAATAAAAAACCTAAAACAAATCATTTTCCTGTTGAGACATTAAAAATGTATCCTGAAACGGTATTCATAGTCAAAATTCATACATACATATATACAGAGGTATGTTGAATAGTCAAATATATATATATGGAAGCATGTTGAACAGTGGGGGTCCTGATCATGCACACATGTGAGTGACACATGTATATAATGGACAAACACCTACACACACCCTCTGTGTGTGTCTAATTCGGTTAACTGCAAAAATCTAAACACACACACACACACATATATATATAGAGAGAGAGAGAGAGAACGCAAAATTTTCTGTTAAAAATGAAGCCTGCTTGTATGGAATAAAAAAAAGTATTGTTAGCCATTTTCTTTTCCTGCGTTTCTTATTAAGGTGGATGGCGATAATAAGCTAGAATCTTAAAAGATTGCAGCAGATTAGCATTCAAAAAAAAAAAAACACTGCAACTTGATTGTTCAGTGCAATTATTGGCATAAATGTTTAAACCTACTAACACCCTAAAAAGTCTTGAATAAGTGATGAAGCTCCAGGTAGATTAAATCTATTCACATGCTTATATATCACAACCGACTAACACAAACCACGATTACCTTGCCAAACTTCTCCCTGGCACATATGTTCTGCTCTGTTGCCAGGTCAACTACACTATCCAGATTCTGCTGGCTTGAAGACTTCTCCATTTCTAGCATCTTAATCTGCAAGTCGAGGACAAACAATAAATGACAAAAATGTCAAAATGAATAAGCAAAGCAATAAAAATAGCAATAACTACATACTGAATTTTAAAATTTGCAAAGATAATAAATAAATAAGTAAAACAAGAAAGAATATCAGAAAACAGGTTCATATGAAAAAATTAAACAAAAGAGTAAGAGGACGACCTGTTCTTGAAGTCGCTTAATCACAAGAATAGCCTCCGACTCTCTTAAACTAATGTTATTGTCCCCATTAATGGTACCTTTATCGAGATAAGATGTGAAGTAGTCATTATACATTGCCCCAGAAAACATATCAGCCTCAGCAAGCTTTCGTGTCAAGCATTCAATTTGTATCACACTCAAAGTTCTCTGTACAAGGTAATGATTAGTATAGAGTGCAAAAAGGTTTGCTGATATATTGAGGAACAGAAACAATAAAATATACTAACCTGAGTTTCAAATTTTATAAGCAAATCTTCATATTCTGCTTGCAAATCTACTAAATCATTGTCCTGCAAGATTATGGAGATTAAAAATGGGATTGCCAAAAGTTCAGAACAGAAAATGTAATGAAAAAAAGTACAAACCAGGGGTAAGCTTTTCTTCCTGGGTGGCACTTTTCTCCTGTTAGTAACATGTAATAAAGCACATGGATCGGGAAGAACAGAGTCATCCAATGTGATGTTTTTACATTCTTCATCTTCTTTGCAAGACTCATTCTCGGCAACTTCAGTCTCATGCACCAGTTCTTGAAAAGGAAGAAGTGGTCCAACATCACGCATAGGTCTCACAGTTTTTCCCGCGGATGCCTTTGATTGGATGGTGGATACCACCTAAAATGCAGCAAAGTAAAAATAGCTGAAACTTGTAACATATCTGATATGACATGGTCAGAAAAAGTTTAGAGACCATATCAAAAAAGATAACAAAAGTACTTAATAAGTATTTCCAGCAGCCTGTCTCCTGTCTTGTTATCTAGAACTAGGCAATATAACAGTCACACAGATATACTTAATACGTTTGCACATTATAATCCAGCCAGATGAAAGAAAAGCATGAAGCCATATGAAAGGCTCAACAAAATGTAACATTCCAATTGCTGAAGATTGGCTGCAGATGCCATTTTCCTTATTTCCAGCTTTAGTTTAGGGCCACATCCATCATATGCAATGCGGTGTGGATAAAAAGATAGAGAAACTGATGAGAGAATTTCCATGGGAAGGGATGCTGGAGGGGAAAAGAGATTATTTGGTCATATGGGATGTGGTATCTCAAGTGAAGGAGAAAGTTGATGTAGTACAGCCCGTAGGTATTAAATTAATCACTTAACAATCGACCAGAGAAGAATATAAGAGATTGAGGAGAAGAAATATAGGTCGAAAAGACAAGACAAAGGGCAGAAACAGTAGAACAAAGAAGAATATCGGAGGTCGAGGAGAAGAAAATATAGATCGAAGGGACGAAATCAGAGAGTTCTAGGAAAAGGTTTACTCAACATTCAAATCTAAATTTTAAAGAACTACATGGGGGTATTTATAGCAAACTAAAACCTAGACATAACAGGATAAAAATCCCTTGCTTAAACAGAAATTCTAACCCAAATAAAATAGGAAACTTAAAACTAGAAATCTGGAAATCTGGAAAAGTAGAAATCCTACTAGAATTTGGAAAACTAGAGAATCTAGGAAACTAACAAATACATTAGAAAACTAATAAACTTAGGTCCTACGCGTCCTGCATCAAAAGGGGGTTGGCGGTTGGGCCAATTTGGTGAAGGGAAAAGAGGCACTACTGGGAAAATGGTTGTGGAGATTCACGGGGAGAGAGAAAGCCTGTGGTATGCTATCACTAAAAGCAAATATGGGCTGCATGAGAATGCTTGGTATTGGAATATAAGCTGTTTGCTGCATCAAATTGATTCTGATTGAAGAGTTGACTTCCTTGATTAGCTTAATTGTTTATTGATTAGATCAGTTAATAAAGATGAGGCTAATTTGTATTTCTGACTTTGTGTCTTGGATTTTTATTCAAACACCTTTGTACTCAAGTAATGCGACACAATTTTATTTCAATGAGGTATCACACCTATGTCCAGTGGCCATCTTGTCCACATTTCTGTAGAATTTCGTTTTCCTTTAATGAAACTTTGCTTCCTAACAATAAACAAAAGAAGAATTGTGTAGTTGTACAGTTTGAGAAGATTGAGGTTTCCATGATTGTATCTTCTGGTGAATTCTTGTTCGTTAAGCTTTGTACTCATTTCAATCGAAGTGAAATTGTCTCAAAAAAAATTACATTTGTATTAAGTACTCAACAACACCATACAATTTTTTTTATTTTGCATTTGAAATAAAATAGAAACACAGTATGCATGCAATATAGAAACATATGTACAAGAATAAATCTGTTTTGTATAGATTAAAAATTGGAACTTACAATTAAATGAAAGATGAAATGAAGTAATCATATACACTTCGCAGGAATAAAGTATTACCTCTCCCTGAGTCTCCCTTGTAAGATTACCTGGACACCAAGTATCACGCCTCTTCTCCTGCAGCAACAAACAGGAAAACTTAACGAGAACCAGACTGAGAGAGAATGAGAGACAGACAGACAAAAAACAAGGAGGGAAGAGCTAGTAGGGATTATATAGGTAATAAAAACAGAGGGAGAGAGAACAAGACAGACAGACATAAAAAAACAGGGAGGGAAAAGCTAGTAGGATTATACAGGTGAGAGGATTAGCAAGTAAACCATAAACACAAGTTATAGGTGTAGATGGTCAGGAAACTGTCACTCTCAATATGGAAATAAACATTCGTTGGGAAAAAGGGCCTAAAACAAATTTTTCAAAGAGGAGTTACATAACTTGAGTTACACTAAAACACAACGAAATCTATCGAAAATCTCCTAGGTTAGCTATTTATATAGCAGATCACCTGTATTACGTGACACAAACATGACTCGAGTTCCACTAAATCACAAGTAGTATGAAATTGTCACTGGTACAGAACCAATATAACTTCGTTTGCAGAGCATTTTCTCTTCTTCAACATGGACCTAATCAACTAATATCCCAGCCTAAAGAAGTAAGATAATAGAAGATAACATAACGGATACACAACCTCCTTTTTGTGCTCTATTTCTTCTTTTATATTTTCAGGACTAATGTGCCAAGTCAACCATTCAGTACATTTTTAGTTATGCATGAAGTGTGCACCTGGTCATATTGGTCAGCCATTTTAAACCCTCCACATATATACCAAATCTCTTACAACTTTTTTTAATGAGACTTTTTTTAACACACAACTCAAACAATACACACAGTGGACAAGGAGTCCACAACAATTGTACAACCAGAACAAACAAAAACAAGGTCCTATCAAGCCTCAATACATCAAAAATGTAACTAGTATCTGTCTTCCAATCTCATAAAACAGCAGAAAGACCCTAGGAACATTACAAGAAGAATCCCATAGAGATGGACAAAATTCAGATCAACTTTACAACTCTCAACCATCTTTGGCCCTCTGTAGTCCTCAATGCTTCTATTCTATTTCATCCAAATGACCTAAAGGACAACCAGAACTCTACAGCTCCGTAAAACCTTCACTTTTTCCCACCACCAAAATTTTTATGCCTCACTCAACATATATGAGCACTCTCCTGGAATAACCCAAACCATAGCAGCTTCCCTAAACAGGTTAAACCACAATTTAAAGCAACTGAGCAATGAAGCAATAAATGGTTCACTTTCCGTTGCCCTCTGCACATACCACACCAATTTGGAGATATACACACATCTGGTCTTCTCTTCTTTAGCAGGTCAGCACCAATTTACAGCACTCTACGAAACTACCATAACCTGGCAAAAATTTTCTTTCCGTGGTTAAGACTTGACCCGCTCACAGCCAGTCTTGCATCTCATCCATTTCCCTGGATTCCGTACTGGCTTCTGGTCACAGCATACCAAAAAGATTCCCTTTCCAAAAGAAATCCCCACCAACTTACCCAACAATGCTTAGGTTTTTTATACCAAATTACCTATCCCTAATCCCCCTCTTTGTGTATCAATATAAACTAAATCTTATCTGATTGGAAAGGAAACAATAAGACCAAGCACATATTTTCTGTCTAAAGATAATGGAAGCTTGAACTTTGTAGTAGTTATTCTCATAATTCCAAAACAATAAAAATAAGAAACAAAAGATTTATTTGAAAATCAAAGAAGAGAAGTAATGAAAATTAATTTATCATCTTGCAAACCTTCTTGAAGCGATCGTGAGTCTCATCCCTATTTGAATACAAAACCATCGAGCTCAAATTTTCAATTTTCTTAGCTTGCTGTTGCACCATCTTCTCTCTTTCAGCTTGGGCTTTCTTTTCCTCCTCCAACTCCAAAGCTATGCGCTCCCTCTCTAACTCAGTCTGCACAGCAAGTATACATATTCCATAATACACTTGCTTCTTCTAGTTACAGGAAACCATAAAGTGTATATTGTCAAACCTGCAGTAGTGTATTTCGCAGATTGAGGATTTCCTCTGCCCAATGTTCTGAATGAGATTCCTGAAACACAGAATAATAAAAAGCTTACACTTCACATACACAATCTAAAATTGATAATAATTATAAATGAATGACAACACTGGCTATAAAAATAAAACCAACCTGCAATTTGGCTCGAAGCACCTCAATTTCCTTCTTTTGACGCTTTAGAAGAGCAGCATCTGTTAAAATCTGCCATGAAGAAAAGAAATAGGTTCAAATGCAGTAGTTAAAAACATATGGTAGGCATAAAAGAACCAACCTGATGGCCAAAAATGCCTACTAGACAGAATCTCAAAGGGAAGATTTAAATTTAACCCAAAAAACAATTAAAATTTAAAATTTAAAAAAAAAAACCTCATTGACACGAGCACAGTTTGTGACACGTAATGCTCTACTTGCAAATTGGAGACTGCTTTTAGTCTCGTCTGCATGAATCTGTCAAACCAAAGGTTCTGAGAAACCATAAGAGAACATACAAAATAAAATATCATAATTCAAAAGTTAAAGAATATTCAACTGCACAAGTTACAGAAAACAAGAGAGTCAGAAGCAAACAGTACCTTACAAAAGTTGGGTGTCAATCATTAACACTCTCTTTTGACCAATACACAATATACTACTATTTTTCGAGTTGAGTATTCTTGTGGTTGATTAGGAACCTTCTAAGAAAATTTGAACCTAAACTGAAAGTAATAGATGATATCCTCTTTTTCTAATCATGTTTCTACTGTTTGAAGCAGTGAAATTTGAAATATGAAATCCAACATTTCCTCCCATAAAATGTGCATCATATGGTCTGAACATAATTAAAGAACTTCTTTGCCATATTCAGGACCCCATCCAATGTAAGCTAACAACCAAACGACCAAAGAAAGGACGCCCCTACGCCTACATACATAAACCTATCCCATAAGCATCCTGTTACATGTGCACACTATTCGAAAAGTTGACACCTAGAACCCTCCAAGTAATGCCTGTCATTTAACATTCTTTTGTGCAAAAAACAGTGGGTCTGCAACTCACTTATTCTTACATTTCCCGTATGCTTTAGGGCTGGGGTGGTGATGGGTTCAGGCTGCTGGGGTTAGTTGGGTTATTCCTCAGCCACCCTCAGAAAGTCTCAACGGTTGAAGTCCTTTTGGGGTGAAAGGGAAGCATGGATATTATGAAATGGTTTTTTGGGTAATTTGGTTGGAGAGACGTACAATAATTTTTGAGATTATAGTTGGGATGAAGTGAAGACCTGATGCAGGACAAGAGGGATAATTAATAGACAAGATTGAAGCTTGTTTAAAATTAAATCATTTAAGGATGTAAGATTGTAGTTTTTTGGTCAAAGGCTGTAAGATTGTAGTGAGAAAGAACAAAAGGGAAATTTATGGAACGATAAGCAATTATAGGAAAAGGATAGGAACTACTAGCACCACACCAGTAGGATTCTAGGAATCACTCCTAGAGGCCTTAGTGGTTAGGTTGCATCACACAAACTTAGAGAGCTGAAAAGTTCCGACAAGTTTATTTGATCATCAAATCGTCAAGGTGTAAACAATTTTATTCAACCATCAAACCTATCCACTTGTGTTCCTCATCAAGACCTGTCGGGGAAAGTCAAGTTGGCTTTGGGGTAGATATAAGTAGGGTTTGTTTATTTCAGATGACAGAGTTATAGTTTGGTATTTTTTTTTTATGAGATTATCAAGATGATGGACCTCTTGTCCAACAAGACTTTGCTCCTTGTATTTAGGTTATTATTTAGGCAAAGTACTGGGCAGCGGTATGTGCTTCTGTTTCTCCAATTTTTAGGAAAACATCCCTTTCAAATATTTTGCTTCATTGGAAGGCAGCAGTGTCTTGATAAGGAATGGTTCTTCTCATAGTTGTACATCTATGTACTAGTTGTCCTGTTTCTTTCTGTTATTGGTGGATTACTTGTCTACTTTTCTGTACCCTTTTTTTTATGAAATAAAATTTCTCCTTTTCAAAAAATAAATAAATAATTCTGTTTATCATTAAAAAATGACCATCGGAAACCTTACTTGTGCTAGCGTGATGTTGCATATTATAGCTGTATTTGCATTTCCACCCAAAGCAGGTTGCAAAATTCGCGTAAGTTTGCTATCTCGATATGGCACATGTCCCCTGCATCAAGTACTGAATAAGGTCAATACATGATATGTACATAGAAATACACTTGACATTCAACAAATGCAGAACATACCCTTGACTTTCAGCACCTTCACTCAATTTTTTAATGACAGTTCCCAATGTCATAAGGCTTTTATTTATATGGGAACCCTCTTTGAGCCGGACACCTTCGGCACCAGTTTTTGCAGCACGTTCTGAACCAGCTAGGTCCACTAAATTCTAGATCCAAAAGAAAACATTCAGAGCAAAACAAAAGAATTTTTGTGAGAATTACAAATACAACAAAAACTCATGTTTCATCAATAATAAAATAGGAGGGAAGGAAAAATAAAATAAAGATATCTATTAATTTTAATAAAAACATACCAAAACTGAAACACGGACCGCATCACAAGAACTACCAATATCTTCATCTTCGGTTCTATCTCGACTTTCAATTATCTATTTAAAGCATAATAATAGCCATATGAGATGTATAACCTAAATGGCAACCAACAACGGTAAGGATGTAAAATTGTACCATGCGGAAAATGGTGTGGGACCTACTACTGTACAGATTCATATTTGTCTCTCCAATATGCCGATGAGCTGAAATTTCAAAGGATGATAATGTCAAAATGATGTCAATATGCCTAGGTCAATAATAGCACCTTGCTTTTAGGTGAAGGGAGGGATTGAGAGTGGATGGTGTTTTTATAAATGGTCTCTACATGTGTATTTGCGTGCCGGGAGTTGGTGTGTATGTGTGTTGTGGGTAAGTGTGTGTGTGTGTGTGGGTGTGTGTGTGTGTGTGTGTGTGTGAGAGAGAGAGAGAGAGAGCGAGAGCTAAATAACTCTTGAATAGTATTTTGAAAAAGAAGAATGTGTATGATACTGTAAAAAGGTAATTACATTCCCCAAACTCCATGAGATCAAGCACTTGCTCTGGAGAGGCAACAATTTCTTCACGCAATCCAGCAACATATATCCCTCGCTGCATGCGCATAAAGGGAAACAGAACTTGCAGCAATATAATTATTGACAAACTATCAAAATAATTCAACTTTATAGTAAATTCAATACCTCTAGACTTTCATGAATCTGCAATTTTCGATGCTCAGGAGCCAATAAATCATTTATGTCCTCATTATAGATCTCCATATAAGACATTCGTAAAAGAAACTCCCGATCAACATCCTAAAAGCAAGAAATAACCTGAGTATGTGCATACACTGAGTTTACAGTATAAAATTCAGTAGTTCACAAATGCTAATAGCTAAGCTACGTAAATAAGAGGCCACCTACTCATTTCAACTGTTTTTACGAGTCCAGGCTAACAATTTTCTGTAGCTGAGAACTGAAAGGCTAACGTGATTTCCAGAGCATGTAAATGTAATCGTACAACTTTTCACTAAACCTTTTCAACATTAGAACTAGCAACACTAATTTGGTAATAGAGTTTTCAGATTAGTTACTAAACCCATTTTACAATGTTGCCCACTGATTTAACCCATTTTACACATTTGACAGTCCAACCCGCACTTACTAAACGAGTACCTCTTGAATAATGTTGAACATCTCACGCACTGCAAGAGGAATCACCCCCGGCTCAGTAGCCGACCCTCGGATTGTGTGTGTTTTCCCACTGTTAGTTTGCCCATAAGCAAAAACTGTTCCTACAAATAAGCAAAACAATGTATAGTATATATATCAGAAATTAAAGTGAAAATTCAAATTAAGTCAAAAATGGGTATAATTGAATGTACCATTGAAACCGCGAACTGCAGCCGCGACTATATCTTTGGTCTGAGATTGGTAGACCTCGAGGTTCTTACAATCTTCCCCAAAAATTCGATCTACAAACCCGAAAAATAAACAACGAAGGAAGAAAATATAAGAAAATTGGAAAATAAAAACATTAAACCCATGGGAGTTAAAACTGCAGGGCAGTAGAGGCGAGAGCGAGAGAGAGAGGGTCTGGTACCAAATTCGAACTTGGAGGAGTGGTTGGGGATGAAGATGGAGTTGCCTGAGATACGCCAAGGGCTGGTCTTGGCGTCTTCAGCCGAGAGCGGCCGAGCTCGCACGGTCACGTGTATTCTCTCCATTCTCTGTTTTGCAGAATTCGGTGGCGATTGCTTACCGCAATTATGGTGGTTTTCAAAAGCTCATTGGGGTTTTTCTGGCTCGGCTAATTTTCCCGCCTCTGTATCTGTGTGCTTTGGAAGTGGACGGGTAATGACCGAAAAAGGCTCCCGAAAATTAAAATTAAATAAATAAAAAGAAGCGCTTCTGCTTTATTTATTTTTTTTGTTGGGAAAGCCCTTCTGTTATAAATATCTTGTTTAATATTAGGGTAATTTTTTGAGATATTTCGTTATATACCTATCCTTAGCACAACTGATATTAAGGTCTAAAATATCGGGAGTTTCGGAAATATCGGTGGTCCAAAAATACAGATATATCAATGGAAATATCAAGAAAATATCGATATCGATAAAAATTGAATAAAAATCACCGAAATTGTGAGAAAAACTTGGAAATTTTTATTGAAACATTAGAGGATGTTTACTTAGTCAATTGTCTATTATTTTATCACAAAAAATTGGAAGAAAATGCATGGCATTGTGGGTTTGAGTGATTTAAGTTGATTATGCAGCGACCTGACGAACACTGTGACTTTAAAAAATATGTAGTAATTAGTGAAAGAAAATTAAACACACCATAATTTTTTAGTTTTAATAATTTACTTCAATATATTACACTTGATACATATGATAAAATATATGAGCTTAACCAAAAAAACAAAGATAAAATGTATGAGTTAGTACCACATAGAAAGAATTCCTATTAATATTCAAACTTAGTATCACATATAATGAACAATATTAAAACTCGAAGTGAATAATAATAAAACTCCATAATATATAACAACAACAAAATACTACTCCATTATAAAATACTAAATAATATTAAGGGTTTTTCGCAGCAATGGTCCTTCAACTATACCCGTTTTTGCATTTGGGTCACTGAACTCAATTATTAGTTGCAGAGGTCACTCAACTATGTGTGCCGTTGCACCAATAGTCATTCCGTCAAGTCCGTTAGCTTTTTCCGTTTCAAATGATGACGTGGCAAGCATATGTGAGAATCTCATAGATTCGTTAGGGGCAAATCTGACTTTTCAGTTAATTAAAACTAATCTTTTGGCTTTGAAGAGAACAACAATTGCACAGAAATGGCAGTCTATGCAAAAGAGGAAAATCGCGTCTAGGATTTTCAAATCGAGAGGCATTGGACTTCGATTTATGGGGGATTTTGGAACATTATCTCAGCATTATGCATTAATGGACTAAGTAGCGAAGTATTTTGGGTTAAAAAAGCAATAAAGTACAGATATAGGATTTCAGTTTCGTGGAAATCACAAAGAAAAGTGTCGGATCTACAGTGTGTGAAGGTTTCTTCAAATGGAGATAATTTTTCGGTTGTCTGGAGAACCCCCCCAAGTATGGTAAGTTACTATAACCTAAATATTCCTTCTGCATTTTATATTGCAATATATTATGTTTGCAAATGTGTGGTCCTGTTGTTGACAATGAAGTTTTGGTTTTAAGGTGGGAAAAAATGTAGTTGGAGTCTTTATTATTGTCTGTGGTCTCATTTCTGTCGGTTTGTCATGGAAGTGATTTCACACTTGCATATGCCTGCACTTACTTTGTCTTCCTTGTTTACTTTCTCCTCATTGTCATTGAAATTGTTTGTAAGCATACCTTTATGTAATGTGGTAGATAAAGAAGAGCTGTGTACTCTTAAACTCCACCACTTTGGTATGTTAGAGAATGGCGTGTATAAGGGAGGCAAAGTATGCTATGTTGACAACTGTATTCATGACTATCTGTCATTATTAGATTTAAAGAAAATTGGGATAGATCTTGGATACAAAGTTGATATAGCACAAAAGGTTACAAGCTTAAAAGTTTACCATAAAGGGCTTGCAAAAAGTGGTCAGCATGTTGTGAATGAGGTTGTAAATGATAGTTGTATTCTAGGGTTGGTTGGGAGCATTTCATCATATCAGGTATTGGTGTTGTATTACCATGATCCTAGTCATAACAACGAGCTAGAGAGTGAAGATAAAGGGCAACAACAGCATAGTGAAGATGTTGGCAATGAAGATGAATATGAAGAGAAAGAGGAGGAAGAGGAGGATGTTATTGTTGACAGTGATTATGAAATAAGTGAAGAAGAAGAAAATGGTAATAAAGAGGCTGCATCAAGAGCACAACCAAGGAACGATGCACCAAATGATGAATATGCACAATGTTTTGAAGAGATGAATAAAATGCCTCTTAATGAAGCTACAGGGGAGATATCAGATGATGATCAAGATAGTGATCGACTTCCTTCTGATGATGATAGCTCTGGTGATGAGGAAGAAGGTCAAAAAAAGACAAGCAAGAGGAAATGGAAAAAGACAAATTTTAAACAGTTTAGGAAAGAAACTGATTTGAGAAATCCAGAGTTCAGAATTGGAATGCAATTTGCCAATAAGGATGAACTCAAGGAAGCTATTAGGGAGTATGCAATTGTGCAAGGGAGGAATATTAAATTGGTGAAGAATGATAATAAAAGGATTCAAGCAAAGTGTGCAGGTCACACGAAATGCCATTTTATTCTCTAGGCTTCCAAGATAGACAGAGATGAGCAGACATTTGCCATAAAGATTTTGTCTTTAAAGCATGAGTGTACTAGAGTGGACAAACTGAAATATACTAATTCAAGGTGGCTGTCCAAAAGGTTTACTGACAAGATTAGGAAAAATCATGACTGAGATGTAAGGGCATTCAAGGCTGAGGTTTTAAAAAAGTACCATATGAATGTTTCAAAGCATTAGATTATAGAGCAAAGAACTTGTCCAAAGTGATCATTGAAGGTAGCTATATGGAGCAATATGCGAGGCTATGGGACTATGTAGAATAATTGAAGAAGACTAACAGGAGCAGCACTGTGATTATAAAGAATAAGATGAAGGGTAATAAACCTATGTTTGAAAGAATTTATGTGTGTTTGGAAGCTTGTAAGCGAGGATTTTTGGCAGGATGTAGACCTCTGATTGGTATAGATGGCTGCCATTTAAAGGGACCTTACACAGGGCAAGTTTTAACAGTCGTTGGTGTTGATGGGAATAATGGATTGTACCAAGTTGCTTATGCTATTGTAGAGGTGGAATCAAAAAGTACTTGGATTTGATTTCTTCAACTTTTTGATTGAAGACTTACAAATTGAGAATGGGAAAGCTTGGGTGTTTATGAGTAATAAGTAAAAAGGTCTAATACCTGCAATTGAGACATTGCTTCCAACAACTGAGCACAAAATGTGTGTTAGGCATCTTTACAACAACTTCAGGACAGAGCATGCTGGCCTTGCATTGAAAAACATTCTCTGGGCTGCGGCAAGAGCAACTACCATTCCCTAGTATGAAGCAGAAACGGACAAGATGAAAGAGCAAGATGAAGAGGCATGGAAGTGGCTTAAGAAAAGACCAGCCAAAAATTGGAGTAGATCTCATTTTGCGCCACATTCTAAGTGTGATCTGTTGTTGACCAACCTCTGTGAATCCTTTAACTCTTGCATTTTAGATTCAAAAGACAAGTTTATCTTAACATGTCTAGAAAGGATTAAAGTTTATATCATGTTAAGGATGGCTAATAGAAGGATTGCTGGTACGGTTTGGAGACATCCAGTTGGGCCTAGGATTGTTAAGATCATTGAGAAGAACAAGTTGGGAGCTAGTCAATGCATTCCTAGATTAGCAAGTGAGAGCAAATACCAAGTGAGCCATATGTATGGGGGAGAGTATGCAGTGGATCTAAAAGCCAAGACTTGCTCTTGTAAAAGATGAGATTTGTGTGGGATCTCATGTTCTCATGCTATTTCTTGTATCTTTCAAAAGGAGGCAAATGTGTTTGACTATGCACATGACTGCTATAAGAAAAAAGCCTACTTGAGTTCATATGAACCTATGGTACACCCAATACCATCCATGGACCAGTGGCAGAGAACTAATTGGCCTCCAATTAAACCTCCTCCATATAAGAAGCAGCCTGGAAGACCTAGGAAATCAAGGAACAAAGGACCAGTTGATGTTGAAGTACCTGCTCCAGTTCCTCCAAACCCTTTGCCTCCATTTTGCAATCCACCACCTACTAGGTTGAGAAGGATTTATGTCAAGATAAGATGCTCAATTTGTGGCCAGGAGGGACATAATAAGACACGACATGCCAACCAAGGGACATCACAGGTATTTTGGTTATATTTTCTATAGTTTAATTTACTTTTGTTGTTGACAACTTTAATTGGTTTTTTGTTTTTGTTATTGTAGGCCGTTCCTAATCAGCCCAATCAAGGATCAGTTGCCTCTTCTACAGTCCAACGGGCAACTCAGGTATTTGGGTTAAAATCTCTTTAGTTTAATTCTTTTTTGGTCTTTAGGCCCAACCAGTTCATATGACCTTTTTTTTTTGTCATTGTTTAGTTTATATCATGTTTATTTTTATTTTTTAGGCCCACCCTAATCAGCCCAACCCAACTAGAGGCAGAGGGAGAGGTAGAGGAACTACTACAGGAAGAGGGGGAGGAAATGGGAGAGGAGAAATGCCAACTGGAAGAGGAAATGTAAGTGACAACTCTGTCATGCTACTTTGGTTGGTTAATTTACTTTAGTTAGTTAATATGGTTCCATTGTATTTTAGGTTGGAAATGGGACAACAGAAATGCCAAACAATTTCTCATCATCACAACCACTCCCATCATCATCACAACCACTCTCTTACGCTGGAGCTACATCATCATCATCACAACCACCCAAGTCTCATGCCAAAAGAGTGAAGTCTCCTGCCAAGAGATTCAAGTGTCCTGCCATGAAGCTTAAACCATGGATGTTTTGAAGGCTAACTAGGAGGATGTCTATTGGATGTCTTTTTTGAAGTAGTTAGATGTGTTTTATGACTGGTTTGTTAGATGTGTCTCTGGGCTGGATGTCATTGTTTTGTATTTGGTACATTTTGGAACTTGAACTAGTACATTTTGGTACATTTTGGAAGCTGTAACTTGGAACCTCATTTGGTATATTTGGTACATTATGCTTCAGTTTCACTTGGAACCTGATTTGGTACATTTTCGAAGCTGTAACTAGATGTTATATATGCTGATTTGGTAC